CTGGAAAGTGACCTGAGATGACATGATGTGAATTGGAGCTATAGAAATACACTGAATAGAATTGTGAGATGATCAGAACATTCATTCATTATGTATAATGTATAATATGTATCATCCACTGTTTTGAAAAATAATTTGTGGTGCAACGACAACAACTACTAACAATAAATCCAATTATTTAGATAAAAAATTAAATTTTACATAATTAAATAAAATATCAAGCACATCAAATTATGCAAATGGGAAAAAAACAGGCAAAATGTTGATAATTAGTCCTTAAAGGGGTTATATCATTTTAAAATGTATTTTACAAGCTTTTAAACTTTAAACAAAAAAATTATACATTGGCATCACAAACTTCATATAAATGTTACTTTTGGTCTTTCTTTCCCACAACCCTGGATAGTTTGCTCTGCTTGGAAGCTCCACCCATATCTCTAAAAACGTTAATCACTCCGCCATTTTTTATCAAACCGACCGTAGACGACCTGGTGAAGTTCAGAACAAACGACCAAAAGATGTGATAAACCTTTCAAAATGTCCAGAAGTGTCAAAAGTATTCATGTTAAAAAACACTTTTTTGTAAAAGTTAGAGGATCAATTTAAGCTTTTTACTCCAGTAAAAGTACCATACTACTTAAAGTATAAAAGTATATTTTAAGTCGCTCTGATATTTTCCCTTCCTGTATTGATGCCAGGAATGTAACACTTCGCTCCATTCATGATGCCTATTTAATTATTAATTGTCCAAAAAAAATCACAGTTGTATCAAAAAAATTTACAAGTTTTATTATCCAATATTTTTAACTAACGTGGCCAGAGGCGGAGCTAGATGGGGGGCCGGGGGTGGCCATGGCCACCCTCAGCCAATCATTGGCCACCCTTACCATTTTTTCCCTCTAATACAGATGGTGGAAGCAGTAATACTATCAAGTGGTATAATCAAAACATTTTATTTTTTGAGCACATCGATACACTAACACTAAAGATGATAAGTACAGAATTCATGCTCTTTTCAGAACGAGATTTTGTGTTTTATGGGGTAAGAGAGAAAATTATGTGTCTCTGCAAGTCATCTAGGAGTCTTCTATTTTAATTAAAACGTATCAAATAATCAATTTATGTAGATATTGGTTAGGGTGACCAGACATCCTCCTTTTCCCGGTAAGTTACTATTTACTATTTTAATAAGTTTTTATTAAAATAGTATATATATATATATATATATATATACATATTTATGTATATATATCAATAAGATGATGAAGTGTGTCTGACCTGCCCTCATGGTCTCCAGATGCTCCCACAGGATCTCTCCTGCAGTGCAGTCGGACGTCATGCCCAGGAAGGTCTCCCTGTCCAGCCCGCACAGCTCGCTGCCCTGCAGACCCCGTAGATCTGAGCCCAGGCAGTGGAGACCAAACTCAGCCTGGCACCAGTCCAGCCAGTGGTTCACCTCCCATTCTGACCACAAGCTGGGATCTAAACACGCAGGCCGACGACAGAGCGCAAAAATAAAGCAATCCAGATTAAAACCAAGTGGAAGATGTATAAAACGTACGGGGCACCGAATGTAAAATATTGAACCATAAAGAAAAAAAAAAAAATCCCCTTCAAATTTCTATTGTTTACATTTATTCTAGCATTAAAGGGAAAAACACTGAATATAAATATAAAATCTAACTGATATACAAAATATATATGTTAAATCTATTTCTACATCATATAAAATTTAAAATCGATCTCTCTCTATATATATAAATATGAATTATATCTAACTCTTGAAAACACACTGCAAAAACGATCAATAAATAAGTAAAAATGTCTTAAATTAAGTGTGTTTACCCTTAATTTGAGCAGGTATATAAGATTATCTGACTATGGAAGGAGTACTTTTTACTCTTAGAATAAGATAATTAGATAATATTCACTTGAAATAAGACAATGCAGTTGTTTTTTCTTATTTTGAATGTAAATTGTCTTGTTCTATTGGCAACATGTCTCACTTACCTCCTCAATTCAAAACAAAATGCATATAATTTAAGAAAACATTTTTCGCAGTGTATTTCGAATCAAAATATTAATTCTAAGTAGAAATCTTAGATCTTTAATCTAAATAGTAAAACCTCAAACTTAAATTTTTTACCAAATATACAGATTTACCACTCCCATTTAACAGGTCTACTTTTGGCCACGCCCTGAAGAATTAGGACAACCAATGAGAAGAGCAGCTGGGCGGGATCCTTTAAAAAATTCCTTATTTTTTCAGAAGGCGCTGTCACACCTTTCCGATTTATCCAGCGTATGCCGACATCCCAGAATCCCCTAAAACGCTGGCATACGCTGAAATTTAGATGTATTTTTATTTTTATTTTGGGCGTATACATAGCGTATTCATAACGATTCCAGAACTTCTGTCCAACGACAGCCTAACTTCTGCATAACGCACATAATGCCCATGAAATGCCCCCCTCCCTGTATTCAAGCCGTAGGGTTATGTGTAAGTTATGCACAACTTACTCGTAGATTTAGGATAAGCTAGACACCACGACATATGAGTAAATTACACTTAACGTACGTATGTCAACCATCAGACTTCAGACTCTGGCACGTACCTGCCATATGACGACGTGTGCCAGCGTGTTTTAGCGTGCTCATAACTTATAGAAAACCTGCCCATAACTTATCCAACGTACACCAGCATTTTAGCCAGCAAATGCCGTACGTCGGTATATGCT